AGCCTACTGAAGATTTCAGTGGTGAAGTGAATGCATAATTCCTTTGACTTCTTAGGCATCAAAGCAAAGAACTTAATGGGAGGTGCAAGAAGCCGTCTCAGACCTACTCATCTATGCAGTATTCTGTATCTTAAGGTCTCAGATTCCATGTATTTCTTCTTCTTAGCAGCTGTTACATTTGGAGTCTACATTTGTATGATTGTTTGACTCAATATCTGTCTCTTCCAGGGCACATCCAAAAGCTTCTCATGGGAGCCGGTTTGGTCCACTTTGCTAATCATTAGTTAATAAATGAATGAGTGAAGTAGGCAGGAGAGATTAATTTTAAAATCCATTCTATCGTTAATGAGGTAAAACAACCTGAGGATAGCATCTCACTTGGAATTCTGTGTTGAGAGATTCAGTCCAACAGCAGGTTATTTTATTGACACAACGAGAAAAGAGGACTTTTTTCACCTACTACATAGACATTTCAGCATTATCTACACTAATACATCTCAAGGTATATTTCAGAGAACGCTGGCATTTGCAGCAGAACACATTAATGTCAGTATTTATTTGTACTTAGTAATTCCAAAGTTCTTACAGTTTGACATTTTAGGTTATAGCTAATCCTCTGGATTTAGTGCTCTTCCTGAGAAAAATGGAAACACTGCTTCCCTTGTATAGTTGTTAAAGATATATATATTAGACATTTGGTGTTTATAAATTTTAATTATTTTAAGCGCTGGAAGAATGGGAAGGCTGAAGGAGAGCTGTCAAGAATCACTAGAACCAGAACTTTCTGTTGAAAAAAAGGAAACAAAAAATCAATAATGATTCACCAAGTTAAAGTCGAAAGGTTTACTACAGTACTGAAGTAAAATCACAGGTGTATTGCTAAAGAGAGAGGTCCCCTTTTCTGTCCCTTGACATAATGGAGACAGTGATGCTGGAATAGTGAGAAACGGCAGGGTGAAGGAGGGAAAACCACAGCCTGTTTTAGTTTTGTGGAAAAGTTTTTAACAGTGCTAAACTTTATCCTTCACATTTTTATAATTTGCAGAAAGGAAAGTCTTAAAAGATTCTTAAAATTAAATCTGTATGGTTCCATTTATAGAACATTCTCAAAATCACAAAACTATAGAGATGGAGAACAGATTAGCAGTTTCCAGGGGTTGGAAATGGGGCAGAGTGTTCTCTGAGCTTTTACCTAGTGCATCCTGAAGCTCTGTATTTGTGAGCATAAGCATTTAGGATTATTTCCTCTTGATCCTTTTATCATTATGAAATCACATGACGTTTTTAAAAAAATTTTTTTTACTTATTTTTTTAATTCCAGTATAATTAACATACATATATTAGTTTCAGGTGTACAATACAATGATTCCACAATCCCACACATTACTCAGTGCTCATCATGATGAGTGTACTCTTAATCCCCTTCACCTGTTTCACCCATCCCCCACCCACCCTCCCCTCTGGCAACCACCAGTTCTCTATAGTTAAGAGTCTGTTTTATTGTTTGTTTCTTTTTTCTTTATTCATTTGTTTTGTTTCTTAAATTCCAAATGCAAGTGAAATCATATGGAAAACAGTATGGAGGCTCCTCAAAAAAATTAAAACTAGAATTACCATATGATCCAGTAACTCCACTAAAGGGTATTTACTCAAAGAAAAGAAAACACTAATTTGAAAAGATATATGCACCCCTATGTTTATTGCAGCATCATTTACAATAGCCAAGATGTAGGAAGCTGAACGGATAAAGAAGAGGTGGTATATGAATATACAATGGAATATTACTCAGCCATAAAGACGAATGAAATCACCATTTGCAGCCACATGGATGGAGCTAGAGGGTATAATGCTAAGTGCAATAAGTCAGTCAATGAGATGACCTTCTTTATTACTGGCAATGTTCTATGTCTTATTAACAGAGCCATTCCATCTTTCTTTTAATTAGTGTTAGCATGAAAAGGGTGATATATCTTCTTCCTTCCTTTTAATCTACGTGCATCTTTCAAGTGTGTTTCTATAGGCAGCGTATAGTATTACTTTACTTTTTTAACCGATCTGAAAATTTCTGCCTCTGAATTACGGTGCACATTTACATTGCGTGTGATTATTGATAGGGTTAGGTTTGAGTCTGTCATCTTGCTGTTTTTCTATTTGTCTCATCTGTCCTTTGTAACTTCTTTTATTCCCCTTGTGCCTTTTTTTTTTTTTGGATTGAGTATTTTTTTATGGTTCTATTTCATCTCCTATGTTGTCTTATTAGTGACAGCATTTTTTGTTAATTTTAGTGGTCACTTCGGGGTTTATTGCACACGTATATTGATCCCATCTACTTCAAGCATTCCACATACGGCAGAAGAAACTCACAGTAGGATGAAACATACAGTAGTATGCTTTCCTTTCCCCCGTCCTGGACTTCATGCTGTCGTTGTCGTATATTTTATTTATATGTATGTTGTAAACCCCACACTAACTTGTTATTTTTGTTTAGTCAGTGATCTTTAAAGAGATTTAAGTAGTAGAAAAAAATTCTTATTGATTTACCCCTGTAGTCACCATTACCAGTGCTCCTCATTTCTTTGTTTAGATTCATATTTTCATCTGGTATCCTATTCCTTCTGCCAGGACTTCCTTTAGCATTCCTGGTAGTGTGGGTCTGTTGGTGGTTACTGCTCTCAGCTCCTGCATGTCTGAAAAAGTGTATTTATCACCTTCATTTTTTCAAGGGTAATTTCTTTGGGATCATCATGTTTTCTTTCAGTACTTTACAGATGTGTTCTGGCTGGCATTGTTTCCAATGAAGAAATTTGCTGTCATTTTTAGTTTTGTTCCTCTGTACATAATGTGTCTTCCTTAACTCTGTCTGCTTTTAAGATCTGCTCTTTATTACTGGCTTTGAACTATTGATTATGATGTATAGTTTATTCCTATTTCCTGTGTTTTGGCTTTATTGAACTTCTTGGATGTGTAGGCTTATTGTTTTCATCAGATTTGAAAATATTTAGCCATAATTTCTTCAAATATTTTTTCCATTCCCACATCATCTTTCAGAACTCCAGTGACACATGTATTATTAGGATTCTTGAAGTTATCCCATAGTTCACTAATGTCTATTTATTTTTCATTCTTTTTTCTCTGTGTTTTCATTTCATATAGTTTCTATTGCTATGTCTTCAGTTCATTAATCTTTTCTTCCACCATTATTCCCATCCAGTGTATTTTTCATTTCAATTTGGGTCTTTTAAGAAAACTTCTATGTGTCTACTTAATTTTTTGTGCATGAGGAATACTGTTCTTATGCCCCTGCCTGTTCATTCTAACATCTGTGTCTAATATCAGGACCCCTCTCTCAATAATTGGGTTCTTCATTTTTCTCATTATGGGCCAATTTTTCTGCTTCTTTGAATGCCCAGTAATATTCGATTAGATGCCAGACATTGTGAATTTTACCTTTTTTGGCCTATGAATATTTTTGTTCCTATAAATAATCTTGAGCTTCATTCTGGGGCACAGTGAAGGTACTCAGAAACAGTTTGATCCTTTTAGGTCTTGCTTTTTAAAATTATTTGTTGGTACCACAGCAGCATTCAGGCTAGGGCTCTTTGTTCCCTGCTGCTGAGGCAAGGCCCCCTTTTGAGTCCTCTGAATTGAAAGGCTTTCCAGTCTGTCTGGAGTTCCGAGCCCTGCGTGAACGTGAGGTACTCTCCCCTCTATCCTCCTGGCCCTCAGGTAGTTTCATCATCTGCATGTACTGATCAGTACTTGGTTGGATACTCAAGCAGTATCCTTTGCACATCTCTGGGGATTCCTTTCTTTGTAGTTCTCTCTTTCCTGTACCCCACCCAGTGAACCGTAGCCATGGTGCCTCTAGAACACTTAGCTCCACGTCTTCAATGCAGGGAGTCGGCCAGCCTTCCCCTGGGGCTTTCCATCCTGCACTGCAGATGGAAACTGTCTCATAGGGTTCACCTCAACTGTTGCCCATCTTGCAGGGATCACTGTCCCACATGGCTCAATGCCCACTGTCTTGACCATGATTGTTTCATATGTTTTGTTGTTGTTGGTTTGGTGGTTTTAGGTGGGAGGATAAATAAAGTTCTTGTTACTCCATTTAGTTACAAGTAGAAATCTCAAAATTAGGGTTTATTTTTTCTTTTATATATTTAATATTCCTCTTATTTTAAGAAGAAAGTTGTATTTTAACCATTTATGAGTAAGGCGATTTCTAATCATGCTTGCTGTATTTAAGTTTATGAAGATCTGAAGTGGGGTGAAGGGAGGGGGTACCCAGAAAATAAAAACAATAAAATGCTACTCCTTACCCCAGAGCTCTCTGATTTGCTCTTTGTAGGAGAGCCCCTTTGTTCCTTTTGGAGAGAGAGTCTCTAAATGAGTTCTATGAATGTGCATTCAAAATGTATGGAAGATGTTATAAATAAAATGGTCATGGTCTTTGAGTTTTGATCTATACCATTAGAACTTTGACAGTAAAATACTGTAGAGGAAACAATGAGAGAAATTACTTCAATAGATATTAAAATGTATTTTAAAGCTATAATAATCAAAATATTGAAGTAGTATTGCTAATATAGACACAGATTAGTAGACCAAATTAGAATTTCCATAGGCAGACTTATAAACGTAGTTTAAACATTTAGCATAAAGGAATTATGTCAATCATGGGTTATTCAGAAGATAGCGTTGGTACAACTGGACAATTCATTGAAAAAAAAGTTGGATCTCCTCTCCATATCTTACATCCAACTATATTTTAGATAGATTAAAGATACAACATTATTTGGAGAAAATATAGGTGATTCATATAGGCTTGAGGAAGAGAAGGCCTTTTTGAGTATGACGCAGAGGGTACAACCAAATTGGAGTCAGAGAGTTTACAAAGAAAAATCATATAAACAGAAGGACAAAAAGAACAGAATAAAGTAAATAAGGTAAGCAACAAAGCAAATGTCTTTTAATTTTACAAACTTATCGTTTCTTTCCAGAATATTTAAAAGATGCTTCAAAGAAGATGAAAAGTGGGCTTATGTTTGTAAAATTGGTTAACCCATGTTCAGGTAAGCTTTCCTCCCCCCTTCTCTTCCGATAACAGTAACTTTAATTTTTTTTAAACATTGCTGCCAAAAAGTGTATGTACTTATTTACCTTTGTACGTTTGTTCTTCCTTAATAGCTTTTAAAGGTAAGAAGGCATTACTGGGTGACAAAAGCAACCTTGACCTAAACATTGTTTATTTCTTCTTCTAATTTAAATCTGTAGAACTGTTCACTCATCAGAAATGCATGCAAGACAGAAAGTGGTGTGTTTGGCTTCTCTCTGAAAACAGACTAATTTTCTTTAGCTTTCTTAAGCCAACTCTTCTTAGAGTAGTTATCCAACATTAGTGTCCACTTATATTCATTTTATGTTGTAAAGTAAAATAAACAGCCAGAGTAAAAGAGAAAAAACAAAGTTTTTACTTGACATGCCAAGATTTTGAGTGTTTTCATTTTTAGTGATACTTTCCTTATTTTGTTCTGAAAAGGCAGTATATTTGTTCCTAGTCAAGAGGTGATTTTTTTATATTAAAAGCATTTTATACAGAGATACATATTTTATTGCAACTAATTTCATTATAACTTTATATTCAGTGCATTTTGTTTTCTAATTTTTAGGCAAAAATACTAAAATATACCATAAATACATAGTAATATTGATATTTATCTCTATGTGAGATTATTTTTTTGTTAATTTATTTCACAAGATTTATGTTATAGGGTTGTTATTAATTTTATAAGGTTTTGAGTAGACATTTGATACTTAGCAAATTGGAGCATTGTGCTGGTGGGTACAATATTGAAGAGTAAAAACAAGGGAAAGTCAATGGGTAGTGCCTTGTTATCGTTGTTGATGGACAGACATAAATAGAAGCCACAAGAAAGGCAAAAATTCCTGGCTTCTTCCAGTTTCCTTTTCCTCAAAATGGAATTGAATTTGAATTGAAAATTCGTATTATCTGGAACTTCTAATTATACGTTAAGACTAAGTTGAGGCAAGCACATTTTTTCAAGAGAAGTCTTAGGTAGCAGTAAAGGTTGTAAAGCATTTAATGAAAGTAAAGGTACACAAAAAAGTCAGGCTTCTTGTACAATTTCTGTTTTATCTAAATGTCCATAAACAACAGAGGAACAAATGCTTGCATTTACCACATTGACTGTGGAAAAATAAAGGCTAACATTTGCTGAGCATTTACTATGAGCCGAGTACTGTTTTAGGAACTTTACATGTGTTCTGCCTTTCTGATCCTTACAAAAACCTGTGAGGTAGGTTCCCTATTGCTCCCATTTTACAGATATGGAAACAGAGGCACAGAAAGGTTTACATAAGTTCCCTGAGGGCACATGCAGAGCATGTGGTACACATAGATTCAAACTCAGGGTCCTTGATAGTGCTGTGGTTAGAAAAACATTTCATGCCTCAAAGGGCCCTTGCCTTTCTCACTTAGAGCTGGCCCTTGGGGTCTGTAGGCCCCGTCCCTCTCTTGGGCCCTCTGGTGACAGGGAGCCACATGCCAGCTCAGTTCATCTGACTGAAGCATTAGGTTTGGGTAGTTTAAGAATGGGTTTCCCCTTGCGATCTAATGGAGGATTCAGTGAGAGGCTTTGTAGCAGTTAAGATGAATGATTCACACTTTTTTTTATTTATTGGTTTAAGTTCAGTGAGGATTATAGAGCTGGAAAACAAGCATCTGTATGTAATAGCTGTAAACTTTCCTGGGAGTCAGTTTGTATAGAATATATCTATGTATGTTTATGTCCATATTAGGAACATTCCTCAGAACTGTTGGACAGTCTTTTGATTGTGTGTGTGTGTGTGTGTGTGAAAACTTAAAAATAAAAAACAGATTTGTCTTAACAGGGGAAGGAACCATTTACTTGTTCAATATGTGTCTACAGCAGCTGTTTGAAATAAAAATTTTCAAGGAAAAACACCATTCTTGGTTTATAAATCAATCAGTCCAATCAGGTAAGTGACTAGTGTATATATTTCCATTAACTAAACACATACTCTAGCTTTTCCATCCTTCATGCATAGGGGTGCAGGCCTGTCTGCCCAGTTTGGAGTCTGGTCCATGTCTTAGCCTTTCTTGGCATCAGAGCAGGGTTTAATCAAGGGGAAAGGAAGGATAGTTTGAGCAAGTTTAAATCAATATCTACATATCTTAGATAGTAGGAAAATTTAAGCTAGTAACTCCACTTGGTCTCCTAAAACACAGATGTGCCCTTAGTCAGAAATTAGGTGATCTTTCTAACACAGGAACGTACATTGTGTGGACTGGGGACTCTTTGTTCTTCTGTTAGACACTTCTGAGGATCTTCAAGGTTTAACATCTTATTTCTTGGCAAATGGATACGCTTCTAAAATAAAATAGAATAAAGCAAAGATTTTTTAATGTGTTGTCATATAAATTACTACTGCCCCCACCCCTGCACCCCCCCCAACACACACACCCAACACCAGAGTTCTAGTTCTTTTAATGTTCCTCTAATTTGGGGGCAGTGTTGACTCAGAAGGAAAAAGGATACCACATGTTCTGATGGTTCAAAGAGCCGGAGAGGTGAGGGGGAGTCAGGGATAGTTGAGGCATTCTGCATTCCCTCTGCCTATTTTCTCATTGTTTCCAGAGAGTATTTTCTATTTCTTTGTAAGCCCTCTGCTTTCTGTTGACTGTGTATGTCTCCACTTAGTGCCAATGTAGAAATCCCACTTTGTCTTTCTTCTAAGACATTCCAGAACAAGAGTTTATTGCTGGTGATAAATTTCATATACCTATGTGCATGAGAATACTTGAAATGGCTTTCAGTTGCCAAAATGCAATGGCAGACTGTGTATATAGTCTGGCAGGTGGAAAGTATATGTATTCCCTTTTATTGTCGCTGCTATGCTTATTCATTTGGCAATATATGAAAGTTCTAACTTCTAACGTAATACACTTGCAATTGGTTTAGCTAGATAGACACAGTAATATCCAGATGAAACTGGGAAATGTTGGGAGGCAGTGATTGATCACCTCTCCTGCACTGTCTTGATTTGGTACCTGCTTTTTTTTTTCTTTTTAATAGATCTTATTTATTCGAGTGGTTTTACGTTCATAGCAAAGGTGCCTGCTTTTTTCATCATTGTCTTCTTTTTAAACTTAACCTTGAAGAAAGAGCTGCTTTAAAGAATAGCCACCAGGATATTGTTTTCAGACCTAGAAACCTGTTCCTAATTTCTATCATGGATGCCGCCTATAAAATGAGCTTAGAGATTCTGATAGGTTGTTTTCATAAGTTTCTCTTCTACTTAAAAAAAAAATAATCAACTAATATCATAATATAAAATTACTTTCTTCATTTTTTTTTACTTACTATAAAATGGAATCATATATATAATTTAAGGTTAGAATTTCTTGGCTGTATAGGTAGGTTGCTCTTTTAGGGAATAAAAGTAAGTACATATGTTTCCTGAAACCAAAATAAGGATGAAGATAAAGAAATTGTTATTGTTCCATTTGATGAAATACCTCTTCTGGTTCACCACCGTGGAAGAAGGAGTCGGGGATGATTGGAGGGGCTGTGAAAGAGGAGAGAATAGTGGGGAATAGATAGGTTAGTTTGTTGATTTGCCTTTTTTCCTTTTAGCCTGGATAGTACCATTAATCTTACTACAGAGTTCCCTGTTCCTTATGCTCAGTCTTGTTAGACTTCTTTCCTCTTGCCTTTTCCTTAGGGAATAGGAGGATAGGGTAAGGTCTGGTTAAGGTAGGGTCTCAGGTGGGGAACCACCTTCTGAGTTTTGAATCATTGGCAATTCTAAGCTGTGAACCCACAGACTATAGAAAGAGCTATGTTTGGAGAGAATAATATTGTTTGCCCATGGCTTCATCCTCAAATGCATAGGAAATTACATTTCACTGCAGCTTTATAGATAAACTTATACATACAGGTCTCTTGATGTTTGTCTGGTTCACGTTCTGTCAATATTTCCCCCAACTCTTGCCTTTGTGGGGGGTGGTGGGAGGACCTCTGTTAAAAATGATTTCTATGGACTCTGGGAAACAAACTGAGGGTTTTAGAGGGGAGGGGATGGCGGGATGGGTTAGCCCAGTGATGGGTATTAAGGAGGGCACGTATTGCAATGAGCACTGGGTATTACATGCAAATAATGAATCATGGAACACTACATCAAAAACTAATGAAGTACTGTACCATGACTAACATAACATAATAAAAAATGATTTCTAAATATTTCATATCTTCTTTATTCATTCATCCTTCAGTGGACACTTAGATTGTTTCCATCCCTTGGCTATTGTAAATAATGCTGCAGTAAACATCAGGATGCATATATCTTTTTGAATTAGTGTTTTCATTTTCTTTGGGTAAATACCCAGTAGTGGAATTAGTGGATCATATGGTATTTCTATTTTTACTTTCTTGAGGAACCTTCATACTGTTTTCCACAGTGGCTGAACCAATTTGCATTCCTACCAATAGTGCACAAGGGTTCCTTTTTCTCTACATCCTTGTCAACACTTGTTATTTCTTGTATTTTTGATTTTAGCCATTCTGACAGGTGTGAGGTGATATCTCATTGTGGTTTTGATTTGCATTTCCCTGATGATGAGTGATGTTGAACATCTTTTCATGGGTCTGTTGGCCATCTGTATGTCTTCTCTGGAAAAATGTCTATTCAGGTCTTCTGCCCATTTTTTAATCAAATTATTTGCTTTTCTGGTGTTGAGTTGTATAAGTTCTTTATGTATTTTGGGTATTAACCCTTTATTGGATATATCATTTGCAAATATCTTTTTCCATTCAGTAGTTGCCTTTTCATTTGGTTGATGGTTTCCTTCACTGTGCAAATCTTTTTTTTTTTTTTTTTTGGTGTAGTTCCAATAGTTCATTTTTGCTTTTGCTTTTGTTTCCCTTGCATGTATATATATATATATATATACACACACACACAATGGAATACTATTATATACATATATATATATATATATATATATGTATATATATATATACACACAATGGAATACTATTCAGCCATAAAAAAAAGAATGGGATCTGGCCATTTGTGACAACATGAATGGACCTAGAGGGTATAATGCTAAATGAAATAAGTCAGACAGAAAAACAAATACCGTATGATTTCACTCATAAATGGAATTTAAGAAACCAAACAACACAAAAGAGACAAAAAAACACCCATTTTTTTTTAAAGATTTTTTTTATTTATTTGAGAGAGAGCACAAGTTGGGGATAAGGACACAGAGACTCCCCACTGAGCAGGGAGCCCAACATAGGGCTCAATCCCAGGACCCCCCTGATCATGACCTGAGCCAAAGGCAGATGCCTAACCGACTGAGCCATGCACGTGCCCCCCCCCCCAAAAAAACGGCCTCTTAAATACAGAGGGCAAACTGGTGATTGCCAGAGGGAAGGTGGGTTGGGGAGTGGCTGAAATAGATAAAGGAGATTAAAAGGTACAGACTTCCAGTTGTAAAATAAATAAGTCACAGAAATGAAAAGTACAGCATAAAGAATACAGTCAATAAGATTGTAATAATGTTGTTTGGTGACAGATGGTGACTACACTTACTGTAGCACATTCTGCCTTTCGAAAGAGTCATGTAGAATCTTGTGCCTATGTAAGAAGAGCTTCTGAAATTGGAATTTCACATATATTTTTCAAGGAATGGTTTCCACATTGGGATTAAGATGAAATAAATTGTCTTTCCAAGACATTTAATTCCTTTTGTTCTCTTTTTAATCTGTAGGAGGTCTTCTCCACTTTGCCACACCCATGGACCCTCTATTTCTGCTTCTCCACTACCTCAGGAAGGCTGATAAAGAGGTGAGTTTCCCTGTTTGGGACTTTAACAGTGAGGGAACAGAATAGATCGCTTTTTGCTTGATCTTCTCTCTCTCCTTTTAATGACCCAAATGTAGATTCCCCACAATTCAGATGTAATTTAATTTGATTCAGGTTGGTGGAGTTGGTCTGGAACATGTGCTGGAACGGATTAGAGCACTGACACACTGACACAGACTGAGAACCAGCACTCATCTCTGACAGTTTACCTGTGACTTCTGAGGATGGCCTAGGCCTCCATGCCTCGGGCCTTACTTGTTTGAGAAAAAGCCTAACTATGAAAATTTTATCATTAAGTACTCATTCGTTTTGAAATACAATACAAATGTTAAGAAACTGAAACTGACCTCGGGCCTTAAGAAAGGAAAGAAGACTTATTTTCTTCTTTCTGTGAGACTATTAAATAGGTAAACTGGGGTGTGCCTAGTAAAAGCTCATTAATGGGGAAGCTGTACTTGAGACTTAAGGAATCCCAGTTAGATGAGATTTACCCTTCCGATATAAAGACAGAGTTCATTAACAGTAATCGTTTCAGCCAGAGGTTCTAAAACATTTTGGTTTCAGTATACCTTTACACTCCTGAAAATGTTTAACGATCCCCAAAATCTTTTTGTTCCTGCGGGTTTTATCTATCAATATTTACTACATTAGAAATTAAAACTGAGAAACTTAAAAATAGTTTTGTTAATTTATTTTGAAATAAAAATAATGAGCCCATTACATGTTAACATAAATGACATGTTTTCAATGAAACACACAACAAAATTCAGTGAAGAGCATGGCACTGTTTTCCATTTTTGCAAGTCTTGTTAATGTCTGGCTGAATCGAAGACATCTAGATTCTCATATCTGGTTCTGCATTCAGTCTGTATTGTTTCTGTGGAAGTATGTGAAGAATATGCAGCCTCACACAGATATGTAGTCAGAAAAGGGAGGAATAGTATAATAACTCTTTCAGACAATTGCAGATATTCTTCTTTAATACTACTCTAAAAATCAACAAGGGGTAGTGGTTTCTTAAAAGTTCATTGCAGTGTGGAATCTGAAACCCTGTCAATGAATTTCCCGTGCTCTGTTTACATGAAAATCCATTGGTCTGTCTTGCATTGAGAATGGATTTTTTTACCCATGTATGACTTTATAATATCATGCATTGGTCATTTGGAAAATATTGTTTCACTGATTTCTGCAGATCTTCCAAATGTTGACACACCTCATTTCTCTCTCTCTCTCTTCCTCTCCTTTGTTAATATCACCCCTGACCTCATCAGAAAACTATATATTGGGAAGCTCTCATAGCAGCCGCTACAACTTTTCTACAATTCTAATTTTTGCCTGGAAGTTAAAATTGTATCATTGGCTGGCTGCAAGTACTTTCAGTCTTTTCCTTGAAGTCACAGGTTCATTTCTTTTATATTCTGCCAAATACCCACGTCTGAACAGCCCTAGTCTGTAATGGTTTTTTCGGTTAAAAATGGTATCCCACAAAAAAGTAGTTATTTCTGCTCTTGACTCAGTGATGCAGGCACTTTTCCGTGCAGGAATCACTGTGCCTGGGTAGCGGCAGAAGGGGCTTTAGCATCACTTTTAACACACGGAATATTTAAAAGATTTGCACTCAGGGTCAAGGCTTAACTAACAGTAATTGCTTTTACTTCTTGATGAAGGATATCCTTAAGTGACATGGCTTCTGTTTTGTTTTGTTTTGTTTTTTTTAACTGCCCTGCATGGTAGTGAAGAGCACAGGAGCTATAGGACAGGTTGGTGCCATGGCCATGACTGGTGCTAAGGAGCCTGCAGTTCTACCCACCTGGCCGTGCAAATGTCAGCACAGTGAAAATGCAGATAGCATCTTAGCATTATTGTGAAAATAGTTTTGAGCTCTGGACCCCCTGAAAGGGTGTTAGAGACTCCCAGGCATCTACCAACCATAGTTCGAAAATCTGCAAATTAACAATTTTAAGGAATCAGTGTTATTTAAACTGCTTAGAAGAATCTGGGTTTTCGTACGCTGTTTGCTTATAGTTTAAATGTTGATGGGCTCATCTTATTTAGTCCTTAGACCAAATTTCCGTACGGTGGGTACCTCAGTTTAATTTGCTGTAAAAACAGAAAGCAATAAAACAGACTTCAAACTTTAAGTCATACTCTCTCCGGATGCAGCTTAGCTTCTTTTATTCCCCTCCTTTCCTATATCCTCTGTTAGTGTGGATTGGTGAAGTTTTATTCCTTACTTCATTCATGGTGCTCATTATCTGGAAGCTACCATGGAGCCAGCGTATTTAAGGTATATGAGCGGCGAGGCCAGTAAGTCTTCGTCTCTAATGAACAGAGATGGGCTGGTCACCACCAGAAGCAAGGATCTGGTAGTATTCAGTTGAATACTTCAGTTGGCTCCCATTAGTTTTCTAGGATACATAACAGAGAGAAAGTCACCAACCAGCCTTAGCACCTGTAATGATGCACATTTAAAGTCCCTCCCCCCATGCTGTGGGGTTGTTTCCCTGTGTCCCACTGAGACCATGACTGTGGTGAATTAACCCTCACCCTGGCCCTCTGGGAGTCCTGAGGGCTGGTTCAGGTCGACAGACACAGAATGAAGCAGAAATCCTGCTCGAAGTGGTGGTTGGCTTTCATTGTAAACCATCTTACTTTTTCTTCTCAAATACTTGAAGTGCCCTATAAAATAACTCATGACATTTAGGTATTTCCTTCCTTGCATTTTACACATGATCTTTTCCTACTGAGTTAAAGAATATTGGTATGCACTTTTGAAAGGTTGACCTAGTCTTTTTTAATCTCAGAAAAATTCTTCTTTCTAGCTATCCCAACTGTTGCTAACTTTATATTCAAAGCAAGTTGCTTATTGCATTTCCTTTTTGGGTATATATGGTAAAGAAAATGAGAATGAAATATTAGTTAATTATGAAATTATTATATCATAACTGTGTGGCAGTCCACTGTATATAATTAGAGTATTGTTTTCAATTGCTAAATATTTAAAATATTTGTTGACCATGATAGAATATAGATTAAGGTAGATACCTAAAGACAGGAAGATTTGGAAAATCTGTGGATTATTCTTACTATCTGAAGGAAAAAGACAGCATTGAAATTGAGGCATTTCTTGCCATTTGTTGACTTAACAAAGTATGACGAGCTTTCACACATGCTTCTGAATGAATGAGATTTCACCCTTCAAACCAAATAAACCTGCATTTGCAGAAAGAAAACTGATCAGATGGTTTGTCTTCAAATAGAGTTGTCGCTAAAACAGAAAAGCAGAGTGAGCTAGAAGTGGAACATGGGCAGAACCATGCATTTTTTATAAAGTCCAGTATCCCCAAGTCAGGGAACTAATCATTTAGACAGACTTCACCCCTCCATGCTCCTGCACAATTAAGTAAAGATAACCTGATTGAGAAGAAGAATGTTCTGAATTCCTATGTTCTGAATTCTGGCCCATTGGTTTCCAGGCCTTACACACCTCTGTAGATCAGCCTGATTTAGTATGTGTGCAGCTTCCTTGTACTTACCCCTCTGGCCATCCTTTATTTTATCATGGCCTACATTTGGAAGCATTGTCAGACAGCTCTGGCAGGAGCAGATTCATTTTGGTTATTTTCTCCTTGCTGTAGTATTTCTTCCTTCAGCCCTGGGGTAAGGATAGGGAGGGAAGCTGTTTGCTCTGTGTGTGATCTGGGCTTATTCCTGAGTGATGGTCAGGACTCCTGCTCTGTGACCTCAGCTTTATATCCTTTCCCACACACTGAATGGGTTGGACCAGCCCAATGCAATCTCTACCATCTCCACAAGCTTCTATGGCTTCTAGCGCTCTTCCAGAACTCCCTCCACCCCCGCCGTGACTGTACTTTTGATATGGGTGGTACACTGTTTGGAACCCCAGTGCTTTCAAGAGCTTCCTAGAGGGAGCTGAGAGTCAGTTCTGGAGCCTATCCCAGTTGAGGGGTTCCTTAGGTGAGACAAGTGGCTTTGAACTTAGTTTAAAGATCCAGCTGTGAGATGATGTATCTTTTTCTTTTTTATAATGTATGAGTTTGCTGACTGGAGTGCTTGCATTCTGACTGAATGAAGTCTTCTTTCAGGGAAAGTTCCAGCCCCTAGAGCAAGTTGTGGTGGATGACATGTTTCCAAATTGCATCTTGTTGCTGAAACTTCCTGATCTTGAGAAGTTACTTCGACATGTGACAGAGGAAAAAGGTAGAGTATGTGGCCTTTTAAATCAGGCTTATGGCTGCTGGAAAGGCTGGGCACCTGCCCCACTGAATGGAAGGCTTGTTCTATGCCAGTCGGAAGGGAAGCTGTCATTCAGACTTGCTTCCACTCATCAATGCTAGTCCTCTATTGCATTGGACTGTTCAGACTTGGAAATTCTAACCAGTTGTTACGGTGGCCTATCTCCCACAGGGCCAGGGATCATGAGGCTTGGGCTTTGGTCTCAGTTCTTTGAGCTAAGTGTGTGACTTCAGTTAAGTTCCTCGACTGCTTTCTGCCTCAGATTTCTCATTGTAAAATTACATAAAGCCTATACCTTCTTTTGAATCAAGAAGTGTTTATTGAGTGCTGCTAAGAAGCATATGTTGAGCACTAGAGTTAAACTAATTATAAATAAGACATTATCCTTTCCCTCACTAAGCTTTGAGTCTATAGGGGACAAATGCAAATAGGGCAATGACAGCAGAAAGTAACAGAAGTGAACTCCTGGTTTTCTGGGGATGTACAGGACAGGTTTATAACCTTGCAGGTGGGGAGTGCAGCTAGTTGGCTATGGTGTTGCTCTCCTGGGTGAAATGACCTCTAAGTGGAGCCCTGAAGGATAAGTCAGAGTAGCAGCATAACAGAGGCATGGACATGTGGGAAAGTTCGTCATGTGTAGGAAGCTCTAAGGAGTTCAGGTTAGCCAGAGTATAGGATGCCAGGGATGCATTTAGGTTGGTAAGGAAGGAAAGGGTGGGAATGCAGGGCAAGGGTTCAGATGATGAAGGGCCTGATGTGCATCTGACTTTGTCTAATGGTAGTGGAGTGTCGGCAGAGTTTGAGCAGGAAAGAGCTATAAAGTGAAAAACCTATTGGAGAATCTAAGGCCGGGTCCACGGAGGCTGCTGCAGTGGTCTAGGCAGGAATGATGGTAGCCTGAGCTTAGCACCTGGAACTAGCAGAAAGTAGCCCCGAGAGGTAGAACCAGCCTCATTCAGGGTTGGGTGGTAGTCAAGAAGAAGGGGGAGTCAGGGATGACTGTTGAGTTGTGCCCTGACCCGCAGTGGGGGTGGCCTCCTGGAGACACAGGTGGGAAGAGCAGGCTGGGGGTACTGAAGAGAGGAGCAGTAGATACTATTCATTTGAATTCTGAGAGAAGGAAGTGAGGCAGTGTATATAAGTATGTCTCGTTAAGTTAGAAACACTATACAAACTTAGCATCTGTGTCTCCAAAAAGTCATCCAGGTAGTTTCAGGGTTAATATGGACATGGAGTGTGGGAACCAAAACAACAGGCTGATGAGCTGTGGTTGTTCATGGTCGGTTTGGCAACCGTGACAGTTCTGAGCCCAAGAAAGTGGTAGTTCCAAGAAGTGTAAGCTTACAGTGGGAAAGGGGAGAACCTCACTGATTGCATTTTACATTATAGGTTCAACTAAATTCACCCTAGGCCAGGCTTAGAGCTCCATTTTGGATATGGAATGTGGCACTAAGGTTTTATCAAAACCATCCCATTAAAGACATTCCCTGATGCTGAGCTTGGAGGAGATAACAGTCTTTTTGTGGGTGAACAAATGAAGTAGCTCATAGCCATTTCTGAAAGCTTAAATAATGAGGAATAAGTACAAGTCACTTTAATTTTGCCAAGCTAATGTAAATTGAAAATGCCATGAATTCATTATCCCAAATGCTTACATGAGCTGTATAAAGAACAGTTATCTTAAACCCAAACCCAGAAACCCAGATTGAGAAATGGTGTTAATGAATCGGCATTTGTTAGCTTTCAGCCTGCGGTTCAAAGCAAGAACTTCCCTCCCTCTCATTCCTTCCTTCTTTCACACGGAACCCCTGATCATTGATTAAATCATTATCTGAACTCCTGTCCTAATCTCTGTCACTCCTCAACATGGCTTAGCAGTTGGAAGTTCTGCTGAAATAGAAAGTGCATGGCCTGTGCTTATCTTGTTTGACCAGCTCTAAATAAACTTCAAAATACTATGAATTTCCCTTTGGATCTTCATGGGAAAAGATGTCTATCTCAGTATGCAGTCCTTGTATACAGAACTGACATAAAGAAAATATTTCACATATTTGTGCTCTGGGTTAAGGGGTAAGGCAAGTAATGTGAGATTGTTTATGTGCATTTTGAGAAAGAGGCCTTTTTGAGGGTGAAGCATACTTAAGAGATAGAAGAGATCCTACAATTTCTTTTTTTTTTTCTTGTTTTTAAAATTTTTGGTTTTGTTTTTAAACCTTCCATTATTTTAAGATTTAGAGAGTGTCATTTATTAGGGGAAGAATTTAATTATGAAGAAACTGTCAAGACTTTTAGAGAAAATTGCATACATCTTTTACTATATGAAATTTAATCTGAATTATCACTTTATGTTTTGCCTTACTATCATTAAAAAAGAAAGAAAGAAAAATTTGAGGCTAAGAGTGTTTAGAAACCTGGAATGAATATAGGCTGATAATATATCTACTTTGAAAATTAAAGTACATGGGCCAGTAAAACAATTATTTTATTAAGAAAATTAAAGATACAAAAAATTCAGATAAAAAACTACAAATATTATTTGTACTCGACCCAATAATCAACAAAGGTTTATATTTCATTATATTTGCTTCATATCTTTTTTGGGAAAGAATTTCTTTAAGAACAGTCTGGTAATCTGATCTCAGGATCTGATTGGCATGCAAGGAAAATTAAAAGTATATTTGCCATATACTTTTGAAGAAATCAGATTTTCAGCATCCTTGCTCTGTAAGATGAAGAGTTTGAAGGGTTGAGAGTATCCCCCATACGTTATAATTAGTACTTTGCAAAATTGTCCTAGATCATAAAATAAAGCTTTTATTTTCTCAGCTTTATGGTGTTGAGATTATTGAATGACGGGGATGTGAACATTATTTAAATATTGCAGCTAATAGTCTCTGGTATCTACCATAAAGAGATGCTTCTGGAATTAAATGATGTAATACAAGTAAATCAATGACCAAAGAGTACTGGATATATAGTAAATGCTCAGTAAATGTTAGTACTATTAAGGCTTCTGAATTAGAAATTATTAATTCTTTGCTGATGTGTAAGTACTGGGCACACCCGTACACATCTGTCTGATGGTCCATTAATAAATATATATTGAAGTGGTTTAAGTAGAATGGGGATAATCAGGTAATAATAAAACTATCTACTATCTAATGAGAAATTATGTATCATCTGTATTTTACATACGTTATTATATCCTTACAGTAATTCCCTCTCATTATTGTTACAACCTGCATTTTTACAAATGAGGAGACCGAGGCTCAAAGAGCTGAAGTTACTGGACTAGCATCACAGAAGTAGAAGTGGGGAACCAGAATTGGAACCCGTGTCTGACAGCCACTCTTTCCTCTCCTTCTTGCAACTGTGTAACACTTCCAGAAGACTCCGGTAGAATTGTTAGGTGGTGTCTCATGCAAAGATAGAAACTTATTTTTAAAAAAAAACTTGTATATCCCATCTTCATAATTTCCCTTTGTGAGGCAAAAAGAGAGAGTCAGGAAAGAAGACAGAGAACTACGATAGCGTAAAGAAAAGACAAGTTTCTCATCCCAGCAGTGAGCTTTCTGTTCTCAGGCATCCATTCCCCTCTTTTAGCGATTGCCTTGGGTCCCAGCTGCCTATTCGAATTTAGCTTACTGTCCATTTATAAGTTACTCTTTGGTTCTGCTCCGTATTTTATTGCTAGGATTTTCAAAATAAACAAAGAGGACTGCTAAGGAGTGGTCAGGTGGTATCCATGAGAGGGAGCAAAGATAAAGGAGAGAGCTGATTGTCTTTAACGTCCATTCTCTCCGTAGGCACTCTGCAGATAGAGCAAACCCTGAAATACTCAGATTCCCCAGCCAGCTGTTTTGATATTAAACTCCAGATGCTCTCTCAAAAGTCTGTGGCATTAAAGATCTGGTTAAGCCTGCTAGGTTTCTAAGAACCTCCTCCTACCCCCCTCGTCCCTGCCAAGTAAACCCAGCCACGGTTGTTTGTATCCCAAATGACGATGACCGTGACCTTAGTTAGCACTGCCTGCTTTATTAGTGAAGGAAATGATGTGTCTCTGTTTGCTAGCTCTGGGGCTCAGTATGTTTCTTGCCAAAGAAGCTCACATTCGGTGGAGGGATGACAGGGGAAAGGCCTAATAAAGGGTTATGAACTTCATCTTGAGTCTAACACTGTTTCATATTGCAAGCCAAAGCTGCACTAGGCTGTCCGATGTGATTAACAGGAAGAGCCAGGAAAACCTACCTGATTAAAATACCCCAAGTACAGTTGCCAAGTTTCTCTCCCCAGGAGGCAGGAAAAAAAAGAGACCATATGAGTTTCTGGTATGGAAAACATTGAGAAAGTAGATGTGAAAATGTGCTCTAGGCAGTTTGTTCAATAATACATCAGGGAAATTCAGGATTGTGAGCCGATTACCCAATTGCTGAACATGTTATTTAATTGTGGACTCACTTTTATTCCATCTTTATTTTGTAAACCCAATCTTTCCAGATGTTTGAGGCCAGTTTTATAGGCACCAGACACATTAAGGAAAGAAACCTTTCCAGCATATGTACATATTATCTAACTCACCAACTCTTGCAAATACTAAATTTAAGACACGAACAAACATGTTATGGTATTTTTCATAATTTTGGGTAATCTGCGGCCTTCATGAATATTTTGAACCCCCTTATCAAAATTTGTAAATTTCAAAATTAAGCAGTAGCTTATGCACTTGGTCCTTTTGTAGCATTCTGGGATATCCAAGTTGGATATTTCTTGGTTATCATCTTGTCCAGGGAGTATTCAATTAGAAATAAATTGATAATTAAAAATTTCCTAGAAAAAAACCTCCAGGCCCAATTAGCGTCACTGATGAATTCTGCCATACTTTAAGAAATAAATAATACTCAAATAATGATACTTATTCAAATCCTTTCAGAAATTAGATGAGGAAGGAAAATTTCCCAACTAATTTTGTGAAGCCAGAATTATCCCAATACCAAAGTCAAAATTATTTTAAAAAGAAAACCAGGCCAATATCCCTTATGATCATTGACTGAAAAATTCCTAATAAAATATTAGCAAATCAAATATATAAAAAGGATAACATATTATAACCAAGTGGGATTTATCTCAGGAATGCAAAGTTGGTTGAACATTAGAAAATCAATCTGCATAATTCACCATATTTACACATGACAAAAGAAAAACTGTATGACCATCCCAATAGATGCAGAAAAATCATTTGACAAAATTCAGTCATAATATAAATTCTCAGCAAATTAGAATAGAAGGGAGCTTCCTGGAAAAGGGTGTCTATGACAAACCTAAGCTAACATCATACTTCACTGTAAAAGACTGAACAGTTTTCCCCCATGACTGGGTATAAGATAAGCATGTCTGCTTTGACCACTTCTATTCACCATTGTAGTGGGAGTCCTAACAGTTTCAATAAAACAAGAAAAAGATAAATGGTATACAGATTGGAAAGTAAATAGTGAAACTATCTCTATTCATAAACAATATGGACATGTATGTAGAAAGCCCAAATGAATCTACAAAAAAAATTACTATAACTAATAAACAGGATACAAAGTCAATTTATAAAAAATGAATTATATTTCTGTATACTAGCAGTGAACAATCAGACAATGGAATAAAAACATATCCAGAATATCATCAAAGATCATGAAGTTCTAGAAATAAATATAACACAGTATGTGCAAGACCAGTACACTGGATTTTACAAAACATTGCTGAGAAATTAAAGAATTAAATAAATAGAGAGATATACCATGTTCATGAATTTAAAGATTCAATATTGTTAAGATGTCCATTCTCTCCAAATTGATCTATAGATTTAATGTAATGTCTATCAGACTTTTTTGGAGGGAGTGGGGGGAAGAAAATGATGAGCTGATTCTAGAATTAATATGAATTTGCAAAAGACCTGCAATAACCAGAACAATTTTGAAAAAGAAGAACAAAGTTGGAGAACTTACACAATCCAATTTCAAGACTTACTCTAGAGCTATAATAATCAAGAAAGTATGGCATTGGTATAAGGATAAATATATAGATAAGGGAACAGAATAGAGAATCCAGAAGTGGACCCACACTTATATAGTCAATTGAATTTTTTCCATAGTGTCAAGATAATTCAGTGGGAGAAAAGATAGTCTTTTCAACAAATGATCTGGAAAAATTGGATATTCATATGAAAAACAATGTTAACCCTCACCTCACAGTCATGCAGAAAAATTAACTCAAAATTGATCACTAATTTACATGCAGAAATGAAAACTACTAAACTTCTAAAAGAAAACGTAAGAGAAAACTTTTGTGACCTTGGGGATAGGCAAGGATTTCTTAGGACATAAAATCCACTAGCCATAAAAAAAAAAATTATAAATGTAACCATAAATTACATTTCATCAAAATTAGTATCTTCTGTTTTTTGAAAGACACCATTAAGAAAAAAGAAAAGATAAACCACGGTTGGAAGAAAATGTTTACATAGTCTATCTGATAAAAGATATGTATCTCAAATATATAAAGAGTTTTTTTAACACAGTAATAAGATGATATACATACAGCCCAGTAAAAAAAAATCGGCACAAAATTTGAACAGACACTTAGCAAAAGAAGATTTATAAATAGCCCATAGGCACACAAAAACAGGTTCAGTATCATTAGTCACCAGGGAAATGTAAATTAAAACCACAAGGAAATATCATTAGTATTCACTAGAGTGGCTTGAAATAAAAAGGAAAAACAGTAAGTTGAGGAACTACCAGAACTCACCTACCTGGCTGGTGGAAGCATAAAATAGTATAACCACTTGACAGTTTCTTATGACTCAGTAATTCTACTCCTAGGGATTTACCCCAGACTTATGAAAACACATCTCCATGCAAAGACTAGTGCAAGAATGTTCAGAGCAGCTTTTTTGTTTAGGGTGATAGTTACATGACCATATGTATATGTTTGTTCAAACTCCTCAAATTGTACACTTAAAATGGGTATATTAACCATATGAACATTATTCCTAAAGAAAGGTGATTTTTTTTTTTTTTAAAATGGAAGTAGTTACTGATCCATGAGAAGCTAAGCCTCCTCATTTCTGACATGGCATTTTTTTGTTTGTTCATTTTGTTTTGTTTTTTCCTCCCCCACGGCCCCCACCAGGTAACGCTGGAATCCAGTGATAGAATGTGGGAAGCAAGGCAGGAGGAAGTGATGGCTTTCAGATCCAAGCCTGGTTGAACAGGAGGATGGTTTGGGAGGAAGATGAACAGTCTGTCTTTAGGCACAGAGCCTTAGCTCAGGGCTTTGGGCTTCCTGGTTCGGTTTATTTGGTCTTCTTGAAACAAAATGAACTCACCCCCAGAGAAAGGTACACCTGGCCTCAGAGCAGGACAAAGCAGAGCCTGAAAAGAATCAGAGGAAAAGTCACCAGAGACCTAAAAGAACCAAGAGGAAAAGTTTTTGTAGAATCATGGAGGAGAAGTTTTTCCCACAAAGAACAGGGTCAAAAGTACTGAGAAGGGTGAAGACCTAATTGATCTTGATAAAATGAACATCAGATCTGCAGCTCTGAAGTCAGCCTAGTAGGAGTCTGGTACCCTGCTTAATGGCTCAGTGACTTTGGACGATGTGGTTCACTTCACTCTAACCCAGTCATTTAAGGTGGGGACAAACAGTGGTTTTCACCTGAGATTCATTCTGAACATCAGTGAGAAATGTATATAAAGAACGTACACAGGCTCGAAGATACATTAGTTTCTGATGCTATTATCATTAGCAAGTTGTCATTTAATCTTTTTTTTAAGTAATATGAAGTATTTGTTATGTGCCAGGTGCTGTGCTTTCAGCTTTGTGTGGATCATCTTGTGTAACAGGTGACACCGTGCACTGGGTGTGTCGGAGCCCTGGCAGTATGTATGGCTCAGAGCCTGTGGTCTCCACTTCTTCTGACAGAGCATTTGCAAGAGGATTAGGAAGGGTCCGCAAGGGGCTCAGGGAGTGCGAGAGAGGAAGAAAACTGTGGCAGGTTGTAGAACGTTCTTTCAAGAAGTGTGGACATAAGAGGCAAGAGAGAAGTGAGTAACAGAGTCTAGGTGGAATTTCTTAGGAGAGACCTCTACACTGAGCTTCTTTGGAGATTTATCTCAGGCAATGAACAGAGCTTCTGTAGAAGTTTTAACCCACACAGCGGAGTACATTTATTGAGTGATTGCTATGTGCTCTTAGAATTCCCCTTATTTTTGTACATGGGTGGGACACTGTCTCCAGGGAAGTTGAGTCTAGTCTCACCTGCCTTGTTTCCACAGCAGGCTGTTTGCCCAGGTTTGCCCCTGGCTCCCGCATAGCAGACGTCGCCCCTTGGAGTTCTCAAACTCTGACAACGCCATTTGCAACAGTCTTTCCTTCATTATTCCAGTGACACATCCTGAGGAGATGGGTGCAGAAGCCCAGTCCGCACTCCATCATGCCTCCTATTGCCCATAGTTTTGACAACTGCAGGCTGGAACGGGGAGGACACATGCAGGCGCTAAGGCCAGCCCTTCTCCCATATAAGCCATTTCGTGGAACGCAAGCGATGTAATAGACTGCAGAAAATGATCCCTGAATAAGCATTTCCATTTCCCGCAACAATTATGGAGGAAAGAGAAAATGTCATTCTACCCGGGTAGCAAAGTCACATGGGGGGAGTTTGCATCTGGCCCTAAGATTTACAGGGGTCCCAAAGATCACTCCTGCATGAGGCAGGAGGCTGGGAGCTGCAAGCCTCTGCCTCTGCCGATTGCACAGAAAGCAAGAAACTCCACGAATGAAGTGTTACCAAGGAAATAACGCCTCGTGTCACAGTATGTAAAGCTAGGTGGACTGTGAGGGGAGGAAGTATAACTTAGAAGAGGTGAGAGTTTTATCCCCATTAAGGGCCAGGTCAAGCCTATCGTAAATCCAAATTCCCCTGAAATATAGTTACGATTATACTGGTAATGCGTTCAAAGATAGGCGTATCTTTTCTTCTTTCTCGCTAATCCCACCAGGACAGTACCAAGTAGTTAACAAGGTTTTTTCCCTCAATGCCTGCAGTGCACTTCATACGCATCTGCGTTTAGTTTCAGTTTCCTTTCTTGGGATTTCCATTCTTATTTTAGAAAAGAAGTCTCTCGTTGAAAACACTGAGCTAAGCTTCAGATTATTTCAAAAAAAATGAAGGTTGCTTGGCATGTTAATTTGCTGAGTTTTAAAAATTACAGATTTTCTACAGATTTGTTTGTGTACTTTTTTCCAGTTTTATTAAGAAGTAATTAATACACTTTCCATATTTTAATCACTTTCCATAGTTTGGCTACAGTGGACATTGCTGTTGTAAACATTAGGGTGCACGTGCCCCTTCAGATCACTACATTGTCTAAGTTTAAGGTGTACGGCATGATGGTTTGACTCACAGGTATTATGAAATGATCACCACAATAAGTTTAGTTAACATCTGTCATCTCATATAGATGTAATAAAAAGAAAAAAAAAATTTCTCCTTGGGATGATAACTGTTGGTAAAATTTGATGATTTCCTTAAATTCCCATTCATTTAATGTTTGGATGAAACCTGAGGCACCCAAGTTCTGTTTGGGGATTTTTTTTTTAACCTCTCAAGTATGCTCTCAGGCTTATAAATTGAGTTTTTCAAGAATATAAACTGTTATGAAACACTAATTGTTGTTGATATTTTATATGTATATATACATATCTTATGAATTTATTTTTTGTTTAATGCACTCTTCTGTTTTTTTCTCTTTAATCCAGAAATAGACAAAAAGAAATATTACAAGTACAGTAAGGAGAAGACAATAAAGTGGCTGGAAATAAAGGTATAGTACATCTCCAATATCTTATGGCAGAAAAAGTTTTAATGCTTCTTTTAAAAATTGTTTAGAGAAGGTGCTAAGTCTGAATCCAAAGGCCATCTTGTATATCCAGCTAAAGGAGAAAAACTGTGTAAAGATATCCAAATATGAAAAGAAATCTTTTACTTTTCATCCTCCGTAACTCATGTATCTCTGGAGTTAGCTTGATGTTTTCCTTTGACCTGCATCCCCATTGCCCGTGATCCTCACCACTGGACAAAAGAAGTTCTCACTACTTGGTGATGTAGATTTGAGTCTTCCACGCCAGGTAGTGTCAGGTGGTGGATGCACATTTGCTGCTGTCAGTCCTGCTGTTGTCTCAGAGGTTGACGTTGGACACACAGCAAGGCAGGGGGCTGAGGCAGACAGGATTCAGGCTTAGAGGAAGTGTGTCTCACTCTCAGCTTCTGGTTGCCTGAGGGATCTTAGTGATCCTAAAATCCTAGAATAATATAAGGTCTAGGGCAGTATTTTCCAAATTGATTTAGTAGGTCAAAACCAGTATTTCTCTTGGAATGGAATGGAATGGGATTGGGATTGGAATGGGGTGGGATATGTTAAAATATAGCAGAGAGTAAGGACAAATATAAAGTATGATTCTTTGAAACACATATTTATATATGTGTCTAAGTATTGGGTTGCTATATATTTCTTACTGTGGGTAGAGTAGAAACAAAGAAACCACTTTGAAAGCCACTGGTCTAAGAAGATTGTGTACTTACACACTGATTAAGAATTTCACCAGACTGGGTCTATCAATAACAAAGTTGTTCAAGGTCAGTGGATACCAGTATAGTACTGATTCCTAAGATTCTCCTCTATCTTGTATGTAAAAACGTGCTTGTCATATCATGTTATGTGGCACCCAGGGAACTGAGAAACATGGAAATGAACCTTGCAGAGTTAGGCCCCTACTATACAAAACAGTGGAAGGATTTTAAAAGTGCCCCTGTGGTTCACCCTTCATTTGCCTTAGTAGTAGGTGAAGAATCAGGGTAAGTGCTGAGAAAGATCTTGGCATTTAGTTTTTGTCCTTAGCAAATGATAATGACACGAATAGCAAAGTGACGTTTATATTTATTGATTGTGTCTCTTTTCTTAAATTCCTAGGAAGTGGGAAATTTTTTTATTAACATATAATGTATTATTTGTTTCAGGGGCACAGGTCTGTGATTCATCAGTCTTACACAATTCACAGCACTCACCATAGTATACCCTCCCCAGTGTCCATCACCCAGCCACCCCATCCCTCCCACCCCCCATCCACTCCAGCAACCCTCAGTTGGTTTCCTGAGATTAAGTCTCTTATGGTTTATCTCCCTCTCGGGGTTCATCTTGTTTCATTTTTCCCTCCTTTCCCCTATGATCTTCTGTCTTGTTTCTCAAATTCCTTATATCAGTGAGATCATATGATAATTGTCTTTCTCTGATTGACTTATTTCACTTAGCATAATACCCTCTAGTTCCATCCATGTCATTGCAAATGGCAAGATTTCATTTTTTTGATTGCATAATATTCCATTGTATATATATAGACCACATCTTCATCCATTCATCTATTGATGGACATATAGGCTCTTTCCATAGTTTGGCTACAGTGGACATTGCAGTTGTAAACATTAGGGTGCACGTGCCCCTTCAGATCACTACATTTGTGTCTTTGGGGTAAATACCCAGTAGTGCAATTGCTAGGTCGTAGGGTAGCTCTATTTTCAACTTTTTGAGGAACCTCCATACTGTTTTCCAGAGTGGCTGCACCAGCTTGCTTTCCCACCAACAGTGTAGTAGGGTTCCCCTTTCTCCGCATCCTCGCCAACATCTGTCGTTTCCTGACTTGTTAATTTTAGCTATTCTGACTGGTAAGAGGTGGTAAGAGGTGGTATCTCATTGAGGTTTTAGTGATGTTGAGCACTTTTCATGTGTCTGTTGGCCATTTGGACGTCTTCTTTGCAGAAATGTCTGTTCATGTCTTCTGCCCATTTCTTGATTGGATTATTTGTTCTTTGGGTGTTGAGTTTGGTAAGTTCTTTATAGATTTTGGATACTAGCCCTTTATCTGATATGTCATTTGCAAATCTCTTCTCCCATTAAGTCAGTTGTCTTTTGGTTTTGTTGACTGTTTTCCTTTGCTGTGCAAACACTTTTTATCTTTATTATTTCTCTTCTCCTGCTGGGTTTAGGCTTTCTTTGCTCTTCTTTCTCCAGCTCCTTTAGATGTAGGGTTAGGTTGTGTATTTGAGACCTTTCTTGTTTCTTGAGAAAGGCTTGTATTGCTATATACTTTCCTCTTAGAACCACCTTTGCTGCATCCCAAAGATTTTGAACAATTGTGTTTTCATTTTCATTTGTTTCCATGAATTTTTTTAATTCTTCAATTTCCTGGTTGACCCATTCATTCTTTAGTAGGATGCTCTTTAGCCTCCATGTATTTGAGTTCTTTCCGACTTTCCTCTTGTGATTGAGTTCTAGTTTCAAAGCATTGTGGTCTGAAAATATGCAGGGAATGATCCCAGTCTTTTGGTACCGGTTGAGACCTGATTTGTGACCCAGGATGTGATCTATTCTGGAGAATGTTCCATGGGCACTAGAGAGGAATGTGTATTCCATTGCTTTGAGTTGGAATGTTCTGAATATATCTGTGAAGTCCATCTGGTCCAGTGTGTCTTTTAAAGCCTTTATTTCCTTGTTGATCTTTTGCTTGGATGATCTGTACATTTCAGCAAGGGGGGTGTTAAAGTCCCCCACTATTATTGTATTGTTGTCAATGTGTTTCTTTGCTTTTGTTATTAATTGTCTTATATAAGTGGCTGCTCCCATGTTAGGAGCATAGATATTTAAAATTGTTAGATCTTCCTGTTGGATAGACCAATTTAAGTATGATGTAGTGTCCTTCCTCATCTCTTATTATAGTCTTCGGTTTAAAATCTAATTTGTCTGATATAAGGATTGCCACTCCAGCTTTCTTTCAATGTCCATTAGCATGGTAAATGGTTTTCCACCCTCTCACTTTCAATCTGGAGGTGTCTTTGGGTCTAAAATGAGTCTCTTGCAGATGGCATATCAATGGGTCTTGTTTTTTTTTTATCCAAACATACCCTGTGTCTTTTGATTGGGGCATTTAGCCCATTTCCATTCAGGGTAACTATTGAAAGATATGAATTTAGTGCCATTGTATTGCCTGTAAGGTGACTGTTACTGTCTATTGTCTGTGTTCCTTTCTGGTCTTTGTTACTTTTAGGCTCTCTCTTTGCTTAGAGGACCCCTTTCAATATTTCTTGTAGGGCTGGTTTGGTGTTCGCAAATTCTTTTACTTTTGTTTGTCCTGGAAGCTTTTTATCTCTCCTATTTTCAGTGACAGCCTAGCTGGATATAGTATTCTTGGCTGCGTATTTTTCTCATTTAGTGCTCTGAATATATCATGCCAATCCTTTCTGGCCAGCCAGGTCTCTGTGGATAGGTCTGCTGCCAATCTAATGTTTCTACCATCGTAGGTTACAGACCTCTTGTCCTGAGCTGCTTTCAGGATTTTCTCTTTGTCTCTGAGACTTGTGAGTTTTAACTGTTAGGTGTCAGGGTGTTGACTATTTTTATTGATTTTGAGGGGGGTTCTCTGTGCCTCCTGGATTTTGATGCCTGTTTCCTTCCCCAAATTAGGGAAGTTCTCTACTATAATTTCTCCAATATACCTTCTGTCCCTCTCTCTCTTTCTTCTTCTTCTGGGATCCCAATTATTCTAATATTGTTTAATCTTATGGTATCACTTATCTCTCGAATTCTGCCCTCGTGATCCAGTAGTTGTTTATCTCTCTTTTTCTCAACTTCTTTATTCTCCATCATTTGGTCTTCTATATCACTAATTCTCTCTTCTGCCTCATTTATCCTCAGTTAGAGCCTCCATTTTTGATTGCACCTCATTAATAGCCTTTTTGATTTCAACTTGGTTAGATTTTAGTTCTTTTAATTCTCCAGAAAGGGATTCTCTAGTATCTTCTAGTATCTTTTTTCAAGCCCAGCTAGTATCTTTATAATCATCATTCTGAATTCTAGTTCTGACATCTTACTAGTGTCCATATTGACTAGGTCCCTGGCAGTTGGTACTGCCTCTTGTTCTTTTTCTTTGAGGTGAGTTTTTCCATTTTGTCATTTTGCCCAGAGAAGAACAGATGAATGAGAGAACAAAATGCTCAAAGGGTAATAATGACCCCAGAAAAATATACACTAAACAAATCAGAAGAGACCCGTAACTGGGGGAAAAAGAAAGGAAGAAAAAAAATAATATGATCAGGCTGGTGAATAGAGCCACACACTAGATTTTGGGTGTATTTTGTTTTTTTTTGTTTTTTTTTTTTAAAGATTTTATTTATTTATTTGACAGAGACACAGCGAGAGAGGGAACAGAAGCAGGGGGAGTGGGAGAGGGAGAAGCAGGCTTCCCGCGGAGCAAGGAGACCGATGCGGGGCTGGATCCCAGGACCCCGGGATCATGACCTGAGCCGAAGGCAGACGCCCAACGACTGAGCCACCCAGGCGCCCCAATTTTGGGTGTATTTTGGTCTGTTAGAAGAAACTGCCTCCCAAAATCTTAAAGAAAAACTTATATATATACAAAAATAAGGATAAATATGATAAAGAGATGAAATATGACTGTAAACATGAAAATTATAAAAGATTTTATAAAAGGAATTGATAAGTTGTTTGAAAAAAGAATGAAGAAAAATTTAAAAAGGAGAGAATGTGATCAGGTGGGAGACTAGAACAAAGCCATACACTAGATTTGGGGTATATTTTGGTCTGTTAGAAGAAACTGTATCCCAAAATTTTAAAGAGAGAACAACTTATATATAAACAAAAAATAAGGTTAACTACAATGAAGGGATAGAATATGACTCTAAAAGTGAAAAATAAAGAAGATTTTTCAAAAAGGGATTGATAAGATGTTGGTTGAAAAAGGGAAAAAGAAAAATTCAAAAAAAAATAGAAAAAGAGAAAAATAAAGAAAATTTAAAAAATTGAAAGACTAAAGCATCTTGGGAAAAAAAGCCATGAATTCTATGTGCTGTATCCCCCTAGTGCTGGAGTTCTGCCATTCTTATTGATCGGTAAACTTGGTCTTGGCTGGCTGTTCTTGCTGATCTTCTGGGGGAGGGGCCTGTTGCCGTGGTTCCCAAATGTCTTTGCCGGAGGCGGAATTGCCCCGCCCTTGCCCGTCCGGGCTAAGTAATCTGCTCGGGTTTGCGCTCGGGAGCTTTTGTTCCCTGCAAGCTTTCCCTACAGCTTTGGAGGACGAGAGTGAAAATGGCGGCCTCCCAATCTCCGCCCCGGAGTCGCTGAGAACTTGGGGCCCCGCTCCTCAGTGCGCCCCCAGAGAAAAGCAGTCAGTGACTCCCGACGCCCCGGTCTCCAGCCACACTCCGTGCTCACCCAGCCTGTGACCCAGCGTTTCTATCTCTGGCACACGGCCCCATATGGAGTCTCCAAACCCAGCAGATCCCTGAGGTGCGCTCCTGTGCCGCGCCTCCCTGGGGAGGAAGGGGAGTCTCCCCGGATCTGCCGCTTGTTGGGTCCCTGCTGGAGGAGCAGTGGCCCTACTGGGCCGCGGATCACAGTTTATGGCAACCCCAAGCTGAGAGCCCGCGCCTCGGCTCCGTCTCTGCAGCCAGCTTCCCCGCTCCGACACCTGGGAGCTCTGCCGCACTCAGGCACCCCTGGTCTTTCTGTGACCCCGAGGGTCCTGAGACCACACTGTCCCGCGAGGGTTCCACCCCCCGCTTAGCCACTGGAGCAACGTCCCTCAGCGGAGCAGAATTCTAAAAGTTCCAATTTTGTGCTCCGCTGCTGTATCACTTGCCAGAAGTGGCGTTGGAGGCCCCCTCCCCCGCTGTCTATCCTCCCGAATATCGCCTCAAATTCACTTCTCCACACGTCCTACCTTCCAGAAAGTGGTCGCTTTTCTGTTCAGAGAGTTGCTGCTGTTCTTTTCTTTGATCTCCTGTTGAGTTCATAGGTGTTCAGAATGGTTTGATCCCTATCCAGCTGAATTCCTGGGACCAGACGAAATCCAGGTCTCCTACTCCTCCACCATCTTGCTCCTCCAGCATCTAGGAAGTAGGAAATTTCTGATTTATTCTGTTTAGAAAAATGATTGCATATAAACTTTGTGCCAGGTTCTGTTCTAAGGGTTTTACATGAACTCATTTAATCCTCACAGCTGTACTATGCATTAGGTACTACTCATGTCCCCATTAGATAGAGGCGCAGAGAGGTTAAGTAAGTAGTCCATGGTCACAGAGTGTACCCAGGCAGCCCAACTCCAGAGCCAGTGCTCTCATATTGTGTAGGCCTTAAGAAGTCCATGTCATGACATCACCCCAAACAAAATGCTGTGGCCATCTCTTATCATCTGATACCTGGTGAAGACATTTCTAGATCCTCAGATACTTCTTCCTGCATCTTAAATGGATTGAGAAGCATCTGGAAGGTGGTGGATTTCTAACATTAGTTGGAAATACCCTGATGTTCCCCTTTTGGTTACTTCACAGGTTCATCAGACTGTATCAGCCTTAAAAACCAATAACGTAAATGTCAGTGCCCGGGTACAGGCAACTGCATTTTTCTCTGGTGACCAGGTTTCCAGTGACAAGGAAGGTAAGTAAATCATTTTGTCAGAAATCATTTTTGCCTGGAGTAAGTTGCATTTGCCTGTGTTACCATCTTAAAATCTTTTTTTTTAAGGTTTTATTTATTACTTGAGAGAGAGGAGAGAGAGAGAGCGAGTGCACGAGTATGGGGGCGGGGAGAGGGGGAGAGAGAGAGAGAGGGACAAGCAGACTCCCTGCTGAGCGGGGAGCCCACACAGGGCTCAATCCCAGGACCCTGAGGTCAAGACCTGAGCTGTAGGCAGACACTTAACCCAATGAACCACCCAGGTGTCCCCGATTTTACAATCTTAGTGTCTCAGAAGCTTCGCATTCTTGCCCATGTGTTCTCTTGGATCTCGTGGCACACGTGTGCATTTTGTTTCAAACCCAGTAAGATTTCTACCATAGATCATTTCTGTCACTAATTGATACTTAAATCATGCCTTTGACACATATTTATTTTGCACTAATGGTCATAACCAGCCTAACAACTCTGGCTATCATTTATGGAGGGTGTGTTGTGTGTCAAGCCCTTTGCTTGAGTTGCCTGTGGACACACAGTATCTCCACTGACCCTCCCTATAAGTCTTACTTGACAGTGAGAGTCTGGAGGCTGCGCCCAAAGTTCCAGAGTGAGTGAATGGTGAAGCTGAGCTACTGATGGAGCTTGCCTGGCTCTGAAACCCACACTCTTACCTTTTTTGTCCTACTGTTTGGGTGGCCCTGCATTTCCAATGGGCTGCCCCTCTCTGCATCTTATTCTCAAGAAGTGTATGTCCTACTATTGGTCTTAATATTTTGATTTTAGATGAAAATTGATTCCCTTGGGAATTTTTTTCTTTTAGGTTATTATGGTACATTCTTTTGTTTTTTTCCAGTGTAGTGTCCTCTTATTTTTGTATGTATAGTTGAATAAAAACAGCTATATAATGCAATTAACATTCCCAAATGGTGGGACAGAAACTTTTCTGACTTTAAGCTCCAATTCAGTATTCCCCTGCTGTGGGCATACAACTCCAAAGCATCTGAGTTTCGTCATTAAAGCAAATAAAACTAGGACCAGGGGCCTGTTTATGATTGAAGGTAATTCAGGCAGTCTTTGATTTGCAGAAATCTACCTTAAAACACCTTGCACATGTAGATGGTAGAGGACTCCTGCCATTCTGGAAATAGTGGACAGCTTTGGCCACACTGAGTTTACCAGCTCTCACGGTTTTTGATTGCCTTTAACAAAAGAGAAGGAGTGGATGGATGGACGATAGATTTTTTTTTTTTTTAAAGAAGGTGAAGGGATGTTAGAGATTATTTAGACAGATCTCAGTTTAAAAGTGAAGAACTGTGGTCTCAGAGAGTAGATGAGTTATCCAAGGTCACCCATCCTAGCTAGGCCACGTCTTCCGCTCTGAATCCAGTGTTTGTACCAGTCTCTAAATATAAGGGTCTGGGCACGGCTATATTGCCATGTAGGGCCTAGCCATAAAGTAAGCTTTTCTTTTTTTTAGATCTTTAGTTCAGGAGGCTACCAGAAGAGGCAAACAAATAATGTGTTGGCTTTCTTGGTTCCCTTTGTTTATTCATGACTTACTGGATAATTACTAACCTAGAACCAAGAACACATTTTAAGAAGGGCCCAGTGATAACTTTCAGTTCTATTTGGTAGTGTAAATCTCTCAGTGAAGACTTTGAGATTATGTGCTCCAGGAAGCAGTCACTTTAATGCTTAGGCAAATTATTATCTTAGTTTGGAGGCAGAAGAGAAAGAAAAAAAGAAGCAAATGAATATCCCGGTAACAAACCTGATATAGTGCTTTTGGTAGTTTATATCCCCGTATGATCATCCCATATATTAAGTTTGATTATCCTCTAGTATTCTACATAAAATACTGAATTAAAAAAACAGGGCTTTAAAACAGATTTTGAGTTCTATAACTGCATCTCATTGATACTGCGGCTTCACTGTAGTACTGAGGGTCTACGTGCTTTAGGATTAATGATTATACCTTCTACTGAGCTTAGTTTTTTACATTTTTGAAGGCATTTTTATTAGTTTGAGAGTATATATAATGTTCAGGACTCTTATAAAGCAAGTACTTGACAGAGACATATCATATATTATGTCTCTTAAATGAATATATTCATTACTATTCATTAATTATATTTATTCTATATGGAAACACCTAGAAAAGATTAGTCTTTAAAAGGCATGAATATGTCATGTTATTACAGCTGATTTTGAGCTTTATTTGTATTCAAAGGCCTCAACTAAGAAAAAGACCCTGAATTTTTAACTATCATTTGGTGGGCATCTGCTGTATTCTGCCATCTCATATCTTTGATATCACCCTCTGTCATATCTCATCCATGAAATGGCTCACTGCTCTAACCAGAGATATTAGCATCCCCATTTTACAAATGAGGAAAGGGAGGCTAAGAGCTTAAGTGAGTCTCTAAGGCCAGATAGAGCCAGAATTTTAACTCTGGTCAGTTTGACTATAAAACTACCATAGCTGTTACTAATTTTTTTTCCTTGCACTCTCCATTCTGTTTCTTTCAGAGGATTATATTCGTTATGCACATGGTCTGATATCTGATTATATCCCTAAAGAATTAAGTGATGACTTATCAAAATATTTAAAGTAAGTATCGTTCATCTTTAGCCACAATTAGGAAGTACCTTGGTGCTTCTTGGTTTCCCAGCAATAGGGTCCTTAACGACTTTATCACATACTGTTTCTGATAAATTATTCTTGAGTTACCTCCTAGACCCTATGGTTTGAAGGTGATTTTTAATAGACACTGATTTATTGGAACAAATTGATTTGGTGGATACTGATTGCAGAAACTGGTGAGTATTAGGACTGGAATTATGGGTTGGTATGATTTTAGAGTGTTAACATTATACTATTTTATCTCCAGTTAGACTTCACTAATGTGGTTTTTTGTGATCATTTTAAGAGAAATAAAGATTTGGAAGAAAACAAGAGATGGCATGTAGAATATTTTTTTAAAGATTTTTTTTTTTTTTAATTTGAGAGAGAGAGAGAGCAAGAGCAGGGGATGGGGGAGGTGGAGGGGAGGGATAGAAGCAGAGGGAGAAGCAGACTCCCCGCTGAGCAAGGATCCCAATGAGGGACTCGATCCCAGGACCCTGGGATCATGACAAAGGCTGACGCTTCAATGACTGAGCCACCCAGGCGCCCCTAGAATATTTTTGAAAGTTACATTTAAAGGTTTTGTACCATTTTCACTGTCATTAGATGTTTGCCAAGTACCTTTATCATGCCCAGCACTTGGAACTCAAAGGATGAAACACAATCTGTGTCTGAGGTTAGAAAATGGGTTTAAGAATGATTTGCTCTGTGTTATTATATCCTTCATAAAGATATTTAATATAATGTAAAGACTTTACCTTAGGCTGAAAAGAATGTGTTTCTTTTCTAGATTTTAGCAACTATTGTTAAGATTTTATGGGTATGATAATAGCTTTTCACGATTCTTATAATAGCTTTCTCCTCTGATACATGAAGATAAAGTGACTTCTTAAGAGATACATAGTTGCTGTTTTTAGCAAATTGCATAGGTCCTACTTTAAAAAACAATTAGTGAAAAAAGAAAAACAATTAGTGGAAACTGGTTTCTATAGTAGTTAAAGTGTCTTGAAAGCCTGCTTTAAATTGATAACCCTATCTTTCTGTTTACTATTTCCCTGGGTTTTTCAGTGCCTGTTTGTCTCATTCGAGTCCTATGTCTTTGTACTCCCGTTATTTTTTATATTCTTTTTTCCTCAGAAGTGATTAGCTTTTGGTTAAAGGTTCCGGGAGGAAGATATGTCGTTTAAACTTCTCTTTAATTGAAGAAAAGTCAAGTTTGTCTGACTTTTTGTCAACAGTTAAAATAATTTTCACTTTTAAATATATGCTGGATTCCACTCTATGTTAACTAAATTATATTTAAATTAAGAAAAATATATACTGGATTCATCATTTATGAAGGAAAAAATACTACAATGCCAAAATGTAAATTTATAGAGGCTAAAGAAAAACAGCTCCATTGCAACAAATAAGTTCTAATTTACTTTTTAGTTCAGACAATTCCAATGTGAAGAAAATGTAGATTTCTTCATTTAGAGAAATGTCATTCTTTACACTGAGGTGGTAGTCCAGGAGGACACATGGAGGTGAAGCTAGTCCATGAAAGTAGCACTTGCTAAGTCCTTAGTTGGCCCAGTCTCTCTGTTTGCTTGTCTATGAAAAACCATGACTATGATTCTTGTTTTTTATTCCATAGGCTTCCAGAACCTTCAGCGTCATTGCCAAACCCTCCATCAAAGGTAAGGAGCTGTGACTAAGATATCTTTGGGGGGCTTGGAAAAATAGTACATTTTTACCACGTAGGTTTACTGTGCTCTAGTCCATTTTAAAGCATACTAAATTCTCCTTGGGTGGGGTGATGTTACGTGGATTAAAGATTGTAATGAGCTCTCCATCAGTAATTTTTATTTTTGTAGGTTTTACCTGAATGATAAAAACAGTGCTGTGAAAACCAGATAAGAGTTGGTTGTAGCCAGATACCTACCTAAAAGTCTCAGAGATATATAATTAAAATTCAGCCTTCTTAAGATAGCCAGGTCCTGCAATTAACTTTATTAAACATCAGGAATACTCAACGTATAACTAAAACTCATTTGGCCAGATCTAATTGTTACTGGCACAGAGGTGAACAGAGCATGATTTTCGCAACACAAAGAATCCCTTTGAGCAAGGATAGCCAAACTTTTTTTTTTTTCTGTGCTTGGAATGATCAACGCAACTTGTGTATTGCAAAAAACCCCTTCCTCTTCCAGATGTTCTCAAACTGCCACCCACAGCTCCTCAGCTTCATGGGCTGCAGCTTGTTTTTGTCTCCCAGATACAGAGAGTAGAGAAGCCAGCCATAAACCACACCTGATGGCAAACCGCGGCGTCCCTCAGTCCAGCCCTGATCTCAGACAAGTGAGCACTGCTCAGAGACAGGGAAATAAACCAGCTCGTCAGTGAGGTCATTCTCTTGCCAACAGAATAATGGATGCTTTGAGAATGGAAAGTGGATGTTAAAGAACTTCCCTCTTTCCCTGCCTTCAAGGTGGCCAACATGCTCGGGATTTTTTTTGTTTCATGTCCTGTTTGGAGGTTGTGGTGGCTCCAGAAGCACTCATTACTTTGACTTAAGAGAAGGACAGAAAATTTCAAGTGCATCAACCTGAGCTGTGGGCCATTTTCAGCAGGCTGTCAAAGGAGGGCGATCCTTCTCCCTCAGGAGGAATAGCGCTGGGCAGAGGTCAGTTGCTGTAAGACCCAAGGTCATTCTAGGTCAGATCCACACTTCTTCCAGTCTAGTAGTTCATCTCTGACAGTAGCTGTAGGAGATAGAGGCATGATTACCTTGCTGGAACTAAGACGATGGGCATATGTGTTCCTCTCTTACTTTTCTGCTTCCAAAAACGAAAGCATCTTTCTTTCTCCCAAATATCTGTCTTCCTTAGGAACTTAGAGATCATTCGTGAATGAAGGTTTTGGCCTTTGATACCATCTGGGGTAATGCATTTCCTATGTTTACTTTTAACCCGGTTTTCTGTTTGCCTACGTTAATTTCCAAACTTTAAATCGTTTGTGATGTCATCGTGTATGATTTAAATCAGGGGTCGGCAGGCTTATCCTGCAAAGGCCAGCTCGTGACTGTTTGAGGCCGCACAAGGCAGATGGGCTCTGTCACAACTCCTCAGCTCTGCTGTGGTAGCTCAGAGACCGCCACAGACGATTCATAAACGGATGCGGGCGGCTGTGTTCCAGCAAAACTTCATTTATAAAAACAGGCGGCCAGCAGGGCTGGGCCCGCAGGCAGTTTGCCAAGCCCTGATTTGGATCTCACAATCCTGTTTCTCCTAAATCTCAGCCTCATCTCCTGGATTGTTTAGTTGCTGTTGGAGGTGTCCCATTCTATTATGTCTTGCTGGGGCTCTAGTGTATGGAGTGCAAACTGCACTGGATGATGTACCACGCTCTACACAAGCTTAGGATCACATCTTCCACTAGCCTTCTTGTATGTGTCCCAGGTTTGATTGATTTTTACAGTAATATGGTTGATGGTTTTCAGGAAATCCGTTCCAGTGGTTATTAGGTATCTTTGTATCTGTTTGTAATGATAGTATAAAGCCTGTCGTCCTTAATGTGTTTTGCATTATTTTCTTACTATCACATTTGCCTGTGTCGAAGCTCAGTTTCCAACCCTTGCCCCCTTCCATCGTTGGAATTTATCTCCGTCAGCTGGCAGAACTGAGTGCAGTCAGTGGATTGGAGATACTCTTGAGTTCCTTCTTGCAGATCATCTGTAAGAATAAGACCCATCCTAGCATTATTTCCTGTGGTACTCTGCTGTTTGTTCTTCTCTTTCCAGAACTGTACCCATTCAGTCATAGCCTTTGTTACTGTCTTTCTGAGCCCTTTTTCTGTTTGTTCTGAAACATCCCCCCACATCTGTAGCGATTTGGTCTTTTTTTTTTTTTTTTTTTTAAAGTAGGCAGAGCCCAAAGCGGGCCTTAAACACACAACCCTGAGATAGAGACTTCTGGGCTGAGCTAAGAGTCGGACCCTTAACCGTCTGAGCCACCCAGGTGCCCCTGCTTGGTCTTTTAAATAACAACAATTCAAATAAGTGTAACAGTTGTGATTCTTTCAAACGTATTCAGCATGTGCTGTGAGTAACATTAGAAAAAGTTCAGTGCAGAGGCCCACCACAATAATTTTCTTTTTTTATGAGCACTAATTACTGGTGTCCTGTTTGATAGGAGCCATTAAAACACCTGAGCAAGTCCATCATCTTATTAAACACTGTATATTTATAAAGAAGCACTTTTCATCTTAAGCTCTTGTCTTGAACATTTTTTCATTGACTTACCAGCAAAAAGTGAATATGCCCAAGTGTTTATAATGACACCTAAAGTAGGACATTTTGCCACAGAGGAGAGCAAGCCATCTTATAACTTTAAGCTTTTTGCAATTTGAGACAATTATAGCCTGAATCGTTATTACCTGTGAGTTCCACTTTCCTGGTTAAAGATACTTTTCTAGTAAAAATATGCATCACCTAAATGCCCTTTACTGATCTTAATTTTTAAGTAGAAACATATTCTTAAGAAAATTGCTTATATATATACTTTGCTGGTAGTAGTTCGTTCGTGATAAGCTAGTCTTTTTCTTTTGAAGATTCATTTGCTAGGGATTACTGGGTGACCAAGAGAAGGTGTTGCCACATGATGTTATGTATTTCCAGGATGCCCCCCTGTTTTTTTACAGTGAAGAATTTCAAGACACGTTGTTTTATACCCGTGGTTTTTATACATGTGCCGTGGCATCTTTTAACACTAACTCTACAGCTCTTTGTTTAGCAAACGCTGGGGTAGGAAGAGGGAAGCTGGGAATAAATCTGCATTTCGAGGGGAAGATCCACATTGGGTCTTTCAACCCGGTGTCTCCGCAAAGAACTTGAAGATCTGCAAAAATCCAAGTTGTGGTCACGTGCAGTCAATTCTCTATGTTAAATATCAAGACTTACCTGCCCTGTTATGTGCCTTTTACATAGTAAATGTGTCACAATTCCTTCCATAATGTGAACATTAAAACCACAGTCTAGCTCTTGACAAGGTTCCCACTTTCACTGGTGCAGAATGCTCATGTGAAAGGTAAAAACATGAAGTAAAGGTGGACTTAGTTATATTGGGCCTCATGGAAAGAGCACTTGTACAGAAATGGAGCTCTCACACCTTGTCCTCTGCTAGGTGGGCTTAAGTCATTTGTTTAATCTCTCTGTGCTTCCCTCTTCTTCTGGCTGCTTGCCTTGCAAGGTTGTCCTTGTGTGGACAAAATGAGATAGTTGAATTGAAAGGAGGTAAGAACATGAAGCTATACAAAAATGGTAATAACAGAATAACGTGCCTTATTCCTAAATGGACATTACACCCCCAGCCCAGAAGGTGAATGAAGTGGGGGTTCTAGCTGGATACCTGGCCCCTTAAAGGAAATTCTTGTCTTTGACTTCTGTGCCTGCCTTCACCCCCTTACACTGTCCTGGAAGTCAGCAGTCGCCTAGATGCCTCCCAGTCCTGGTACATACAAAATATGTGATCAGTATCACTAGACTGCCCAACAGGCTGGGTCATGGACTCACCCTATCATATACCCCCATCACCGAGGCTGCTTCTCAGAAGGTATATGTGGCTTCATTCTCCCAGATAATTGGCAAAATGCAGAGTAAGCCCCCTTTGCAGGGTCTGCTGTTCCATTTGGCCTTGATGCGGGTCCAAATTGACCCCATTGTTTTTTAAAAAATGGATTGATGTGTCGAGGTGACATTTGACATCACTTCACTGCTCTAACATTGCAGAAAGTAAAGTTATCTGATGAGCCTGTAGAAGCAAAAGAAGATTACACTAAGTTTAACAGGAAAGATTGGAAGACTGAAAAGGTATGTGTGTCCAGCCGTAGTAGTATATTCCTGGATTCAGTAGGTGATCCTGCATGAGGACATCCAGGAATGATTTCATGCTTGATGGTGATTTTTAACCATGAAGGATTATTAACTTGCATTTCTGTGACTCAGTAATTCAAAATTGTGAATGACAATGAATATGTCAAGCCAGGAAGACTTTTTATGAATCAAGGCAAGGCAATATACTTAGCAAGAGCATGCCTACACTTTGCCATCTATATTTAGAGTGGGGGGTAGGGGCACAGAGGGAGGGAGCCTCCACAGGTCATTTTTTGTCAACTCTACTGCCTGGAATCTTCCCAGAATTTATGATGATGACAATAATTATTAATAACCCTACCATTCAGCAATCACCCTGGCAAATATTTTCATAACCTTTCTTACAAAGTTTTATATGATACATACATTATAAATACATACATAGCTTTTAAAATTGGCATTTTAATATATTTATAGTTTGGGGTTCTATCCTCTTCATTTAGCACTATATTGTGAAAATGTTCTCATGTCATTAGGCATTCTTTGACAAATTATTAATGCTTTCATGATATTCAATCATTTGTGTTATTTTATTTCACCATATGGAATATAATCTATTTAGTCATTCCCCTATTTTTGGACACATAGGTTACTTCTGCTTTTTTCATGCTTTGTTTTAATGAAGTGATAATCATTTATAGTCTGTATCTCTATTTCATTAGACACAATTTAGAACTAAGAGTAAGAGCTTAGAAAACATGAGCTCTTTCCATGATTATTGAGAGAATATATATGTGCGTGTGTGTACATGATTGTGATTTTATCATATATATTATATCATACATAATATATGATTTTATCATATATATGATATATATAATCATATATATGATATACATCATATATAATCATATATATGATTGATTACGTGTGTGTGTGTGTATATATACACACACACATATATAAAATGCTTTCCAAAAATGTAGAAATTTGAATTCCCAACCATTATTGCTGCAAGATTGCTCATCTTGCTTTCTTGACAACACTGAGTATTATTTTTATTCTTGAAAATTTTTTTTCAAAGATTTTATTTATTTATTTATTTGAGAGAGCGAGAATGAGAGAGAGAGAGAGAGCACATGAGAGGGGGGAGGGTCAGAGGGAGAAGCAGACTCCCCGCTGAGCGGGGAGCCCGATGCGGGACTCGATCCCAGGACTCCAGGATCATGACCTGAGCCGAAGGCAGTCACTTAACCAACTGAGCCACCCAGGCGCCCTATTCTTGAAAATTTTTGACTGTCTAATTAGGGTACATTTCTTTGGTGAGAAAGGTTAGTTGTTTTTCCAAATGCTTATTGCCCATTTGCATTTTTGGAAATTGTCAGTTCATGCCCCCTTGCCTGTTTTTTATATTGGGATAGTAGTGTTTTTCTTGTTGATTTTTAAGAGCTTATTCTAGATTAGGAATTATTAACACTTCATGACATATAGGGTACAAATGATTTTCTAATTTGTGTTTAGCCTTTTCATCCGATTTTTTAAACAATTTTAAGTTTTTCTGAGGATTAAATGGAATTGTTTTTCCCTTGTGACTTTCTCATTATTTTTATGCTTGCCCATCCCAAGATAAACTCACTTCCTCTTAGATTTTAACATTTACCCCCCTTAGCATTTAATGTTTTTTATAAGTTTTATTCTTTGATCTATATGTAATTTATCTGGGCATGTGATGTCAGGGAATAAATCCCAGTTGAGATTTGGCAAGATAGCTAGTTATCTCTATGGCTTCTGTAAGCAGGGATGTTTTTGAGTTTCTCTGGGAGGACTAATTCTGCCCCACCCTTGTAACTGCTGCTTTTTGTTGTATCTACTTGGGCACAGCCCCAGGGAAATAAGGGGTTGGACCAGGATGTCAGTTAAATACAGGGGATAACTTGTCTCAAAGAGACTGTCACTTTTCACCATCCAGTCAAAAAACAAGCCTCCTAAAATGTAAGTGACAGAAGGTGAGAAGCAAGATTTCAGGGATCATATACCGTGCCCTTAAAAAGTTCTTTGGCAGTGACTGTCTCACAGTTCTCAGGGAGACAGATCATTTCTTTTCCTTTGCTGAGTCCCATCATGTTTGCTTCTGCTGGAGAAGCTGAGATGCACTGAAGTAGAATCAGCTGCTGTTTACCTTCTAGTAGTGATAGTTCCAGAACGTGGCACAAAACCAAACCAAAGCAAAACAAACAAACAGAAAAAACAGTGACCAGGAAGAGAGAGGAATTTCAAAGGCAATTACGTGAAGTCAGCTTTTTGAAAAGTGTTTCTTTGTTGGACGAAAACTGGGGCAGTTATCCTGCTGGCCCCGGATGCTCTACAGTACAGGTTATTTTCCGAATATATTGGTGTTGTCCTTGGTTTCCCATAGAGCCTATGAATAAAATGCAACAGCCCATTGTGGTGAATTATTCATCACGCAGTAATACTAGGCTGGAATTCCTCCTCTGACAATCACTTCCTGAGTCAGCTCCTTTATTGGTGTTATTCTACTTAATACATCCTCCAGAATTATTCCCCCAAAGTAAACCGTTGGTTGTAACATTCCACTCCTTAGAAGGCGGCGATTTTTTCTCCTGCCTCTTTTACCAGATTTTGTGTCTTAGATCTGAATTCTGAATGGAAATCAGAATTAAAAATAATAATAATAATAATGACTCCCTTATGAAACATGTTAGTAGAAAATACTTCTCTTCATGAACCTTGAGACAAGCATGGTCTTGTTTGATTTGCATGTACGATTTATAAAGGTTACATTTGTAACAATTTTTCTCTTATTTTCCTTAACAGAAAAATAGCAAAATGACTGCAGCTCAGAAAGCTTTGGCTAAAGTTGACAAGAGTGGAATGAGAAGTATTGATTCCTTTTTTGCTACAAAAAATAAAAAAATCGGAAAGATCTGAAACTTTGAAAATGAAATCTAGCAAAAATATTTGCCTGTTACATGTTCCATTTTTGTCCTTCCCCCACACCACTGTGCTTCCTGACCCTTAATTACCAAAAAAAAAAATGAGGGCAATTTGCAGAGTCGAACATTTCTTCATATTTGATTTTTGTGTTTTTGAACAAAATGTGGGAAAGTCATTGTGTAACTTTCATGGCCTGTGTGGCCTTCAGACTCTTGTTTGACATCCTGAAAAGTAATCAAGTGAATAGAGTTAACCTCTAGCTAGCATCCCAGTTTCCTCAATAAACTGACATGTGACAGTATTTGAGCGTATGCCTATTCTTCTATGCCATTCTGCCACATGGTAGCAACAGCACTATGGTTTCCAGAGTACGGACAGAAATCCAATTACAGCGATCAGAGAAACCACTACTTTTTAAAAGCCTTGAGCTTTTGGTAAATCTTTTGTTGAATATTTTCTGTTCTATGAATCTGCGTTTGTTGCAGAAAATAGAGAAAGGTATTAAATTAAAATTATAATCTCCAACTTGACATTACCCGGAGATCCTATGGCACATGTTCTTATAATAATAATTTTTTTAAGGAATTATAATAGTAATTGTGTCATCTTCTGTCTTGGCAACATCATTTTGTGAGCATTTTCCCAGGCTACTAAAGCAGGCTTCATAAATATGCTTTTTTAATGATGGTCATTTTTAATTCTTTGGATATGTGATCATTTAATGACCATGACCCTATTTTGGACATTTAGATGGCTTACAAATGTTCACTGTTTGAAGAATCAGATTACAAGTAAATGTTTGTTCGTATCTTTTATTGCTCCCTTAGAATGGATTTTAGATGTGGGCTTCCCAGTTTATAACTGAATTTTCCAAATACATATTTGTGGGAAGATCTTTCACAGAAAGTATACAGAATCTTGCACTGGAACACAGAGTGGTCTCAGTTCTTCTCTTATTCACTGCCACCTTGTGAGCTTTGAATGTTAGCTTTGCAAATAAGTGGGGAAAAAAGGCATTTTATTGTGGTTTTAATTCACATTTCCCTGATTAATAATATTGAATATTTTTTCACATTTACATAACCATTCATCATTTATAGAGCATTATCTGTGTATGTCCTTTGTTAAATTGTGGGAGTGTCGGTATTTTTCTTATGGACTCTAAAGATACTCTGTGACTTAAAGACATTAATTTTTGTCCATTGTAAACTTTTTGTTGGTCTATAAATTGTCTAATTTTGTGTATGATTTTTTTGTCATGCAGATATTTTTGGTTTTTATGTAGACATATATATATATACACATACATATATATATATATATATAAATGGTAACATACCACTATATAGAGAGAGACATATATATCTATATATAAACTTTTCCTTTACATTGATGTTATACTTAGAAAGATGCTTCCCTTTGTGGGAAAGTTAACCAGTCACTTCTTTTCTTCTAATTTTTTAATAACTAATTTTTTGTTTTATATTTAATTACTTAAATCATCTGCAGAATTTGTATTTAAATATGCTGTGAGATAAAGCTCTAATTTGTTTTCTCACCTGTTGATTTTTCCATTAGATCTGTACAATTATTTTGTCAGGTTCTAAGAGTAAGTTCCAAGGGGATTTTTTATTGAGATTTTGTTAGACACATAAATTATTCGGGGGAAAACAGACATGTTTATAAAATTCCTTTTTGTTATTCAGGAATATAGTATTTCTCTATATTTGCTAAAATCCTAAGCATACCTTTCACTAACATTTGCTTCTTCATCTTCATATAGGTACTTCTTTTTAGGCATATTTCTAGGTATTTTTGTTGCTATTAATGAAATCTATTTTTTAGATCTAACTGGCTATCTTGTGGTAAAATTTTACATTTTTATATATTTACCTTTTAAATAACCAATTTACTGAACTATTAATTTTTTATTATATTCATATTGGGGTTTGATGCATAAGTTATAATAATCCTCAAAAAAAATTGTGTTCCATTCTAGTAGTTATACCTCTTTTATATCTTTTATATCCTGGGTGAGATATATCTTTTATAACATGGGTGAGAATACCTGGAACAGTGTTGAAGAGTATTAATAGTAGTCAATCGGTCTGATTTGTGATTTGATTAATGTACGTTACCATTAATTCTGACACTAGCTGTTGTTACTATGATAAAGAATATCTATTTTTGATATTTCCTTTCATAGTTAGTTTCCTTAAAGTTTTAATTAGTAATTGGTGTTGGTTGGTATCAAATATGTTTCTGACAGCTCTTGAGATGATAAGGGAGTCTTTATCACTGTTGAACTGTATTTGAGTTCCTACAATAACCCTTACCTGACATGATATAAAGAATACCACAGTGTATGCTTCTGGGTTAACCATGTGAAATCTAGTTGTTAATTAGTTTTTCTGGGCTTTTACTTAGCATTTTCGCATCTGTATTCAAAAGCAATATTAGGTTTCAGTGTTAGAATTATGCTACCTTCCCATCTGGACCAGTGTTCTGGAAGGAATAATTTTGTGCCGGAATATTCTATTATTGGACCATATTAAAGAAAACGGTAAAACTTTCTAGCACTGAGACTTCTTTTTCGTTATTGTTACAGTCTTCAATCTGGAAGAATTTCTCACCTGGTCTTTGTCTTACTTGACCTTGACATTACTGAAGAGTACGGGCCAGTTACTGAGTAGAATGTTCACTTTGAGTTTGCCTAATGTTTCCTCTTGATTAGATTCTAGCGATACCTCTGGGCACCCACAGAGGTAACAATGTGTCTTTCTCAGTGCACCATCTCAAGAGTAATAGTGTGACCCGCTACCAGTGATGTTCACTTTGATTAAGGTGGTGGTAACCTTTGATACAGGTTTATCCACTGCAGAGTTACTACTTTTTTCTTTGTAATTAATAGGCAATTTGTGGGAAATACTCTTGGACTTTTAGGTATACTATTCCTCATCAAACATTCACCCACAAGGTTTAGAATCGACTGGTGATTTTTCTAACTCCTTCATTTCTTCTGTATTTATTTCTTTTATATTAGGCTGGCATTTTTTTTAGGAAGAATAGCTTTCCTGTCTCTACTTATTTATTCATTTATGAACCTATATCAGTATGGACTTGTAGATTTTGTATTTTGTCCGGTGGGTTTCTTCTTCTGTGACAGGGTATTCCAGGCTCTTGTACTCTTTCTGCCCAGGCTGTGAATCAACCTTTCTCCTAAAAAGCCAGAGTTCCTGTTCATGGAGAGTGATATTTAGAAACCAAAATCTAGGCACAAGATGTGCTCATTGCTTCTGTCGATCAATGTGTGTGGTTTTTGTAGATTTCTCTCCTATTCCCAGTTCACCGAGAGTTTTGTCAGAAATGGATATGAATTTTGTCACATATTTTGTCCTCATTTATTGAGATGATCATGTAGTTTTCCTTTAATAATGGTTTATCTTTTAATATCTGAAGTATAATGATTGCTTTTTGAAAGTTAAAATAACATTACATTCCTGGGATAAACCCTACTTGGTCTATAGTGTATTATTCTTTTCATATACAGTATTGTATTTTACTTCCTAATATTTTGTTAAGGATTTTTGTTATCTCTGTTCATGAAGAATGTTGGTCTGTGGTTTTCCTTACTTGTAATAATTCTGTCTAGTTTTGGTATCAGAGCATAACTGACCTCAGAAAATGAATTGAGAAATATCTTCTCATCACCTATTTTCTGGAAGAGTTTATATGAGATTAGTAATTGTTTCTTCCTTTTATATTGGACAGAATTCAACAAATGAAGCCATTTGGGCCTGGAATTTTCTTTCTAGGAAAGTTTTTAATTACTGATTCAATTTCTATAATAGATATAGAGCTATTCTAATTTTCTTTTGCATGTGTATGTGCCAGTTTTAGTAATTTATGTCTTTTAAGAAATGTGTTTCGTCGGTGTTGTCAAATTTATTGGCATAACTTATTTCTCATATTTTTATTATCTTTTTTATATCTGTGGATCTGTAGTCATTTTCTTTTTTCATACCTGATTGATCATGTGTATCTTTTTTGTTCTCTTGGTTAATCCAGCTAAAAATTTTTTAACTTCTTTGATCCTGTCAGAGAATCATTGTCTTGTGGCTCGTGTTATTTCTGATGAGACATCTGTGATAATTTTTTTATTTCTTCTACTTTAAACGGTGTCCCCTTTCCTCCCTGGCTTCTTTTAAGATTTTTTTTCTTTATTATTAGTTTTCAGCAAGTTGATTATGATGTGTTGATGTGGTTTTCTTTGTGTTAACTTGTTTGTGGGTCTGTTGAGCTTCTTGAATCTTTGAGTTTGTAATTTTCATCAAATTTGGAAAATTTCTGGCCAATGTTTCTTTAAATATTTTTCTACTTTTTTCTGCTCTCCCCCTCAGCTTCTAGGACTTCATTTACATGTATGTTAGACCACTTGATAATAGCCGACCTGTCCTTTCACTGAGGTTCTAGGTTTTGTTTTGTTTTATGTTCATGTTAGACAGTTTTCTTGTTATATTCTCAAGTTTACTTTGTCTTGTAGTGTTTCATCTTCCATTAACCTCAGCTAGTGAATTTTTATTTCAAAATGGGAATTTTCAGTTCTAGATGCTCTGTTTGGTTGTTTTTTATGTCTTTCCATTTCTCTCACTGTGTTTTCTTTAAATACTTCATTACTGTCCCTGTCTACTGGTTGCATCATCTCTGTCACTTCTGGGTCTCTTTCTTTCTTTCTTTCTTTCTTTCTTTCTTTCTTTCTTTCTTTTTTTTAATTTTTTATCTTGAAATAATTTTAGACATACAGAAAAGTTGCAAAAACAGTAGAGTTTACTTACACTTTTCACCCAGCTTTCTCTAGTGTTAACACCTGACATAACCAAAGTGTAATTACCAAGCCCAGGAAATTTACAATAATGCAACACTATTAACCACTATTAACCAATCTACCACCTTATTTGAGTTTTTTACATTAATGTTGTTTTTCTATTCCAGAATCCAGTCCATCATTACACATTGTATTTAGTTGTCATATCTCTTCTGTTTTTTCTAATGTTTGAGTCTCTCAGTCTTCCTTTGTCTTTCAGTGGCCTTGACCCTTGACCCTTTTGAGAATACTGGTCAGTTATTTTGTAAAAATGCCCCTCAATTTTTGAAACTATGCTAATATCCTGTTTCTCATGTGATCATTTCATAATACTAATCCTGATTCTAATAACAACACACACTGTATAGCATTTACATAGTACTGTTCTGAGCACTTTGCTCTACGTATAAGTCCTTTAATCCCCCAACAGCCAGAGT